AGTTTATGTAGTTCTTAAAATAAATGTACTTCTATATTTTTATTAGATAACCCTTTGAGGAATTATTTTATGTGATTTTTTTTAATAAACAGATGCAATATAACTACCTGGCTGAAAATAACAGGTTGTTATATGTTATCTTACCTTCTATAAGTGGCAAATAAATATTGAAAATTTCTTATTGTCCAGATTCCAGATGCACAGAGAAGAAGTTTCTACCTGAGAAGTCCAGCTCACTGGTGGCTCTGTCCAGTTTTCCTGGTGCGGGGAACACCTGGGTGAGGCACCTGATCGAGCTCGCCACAGGCTACTACACAGGCAGTTACTACTTTGATGGCACCCTCTACAATAGAGGTAAACAGTAGCACCACTCTACCAGTGATCATAAATCTTACCATTTTAAAAGCTTGCTTGTCTTTGACGGACACTAATCAAACCACTCTGAAAAATATTATTGCACAAACATTGGATGGGATGAATTTATCATCATTGCTATCTTTTTGCACATAAACAGGCTGATGTCTCTAATGGAAAGTGGGAATTTAACCAAAGTTTAATCTACCACCACAACATCATGGGATTATATATACATACTGTATATATAACTGTTTTTAAGAAGTTTGGACTGATTTAAACCGTAACTCCAGAGTTTGTGAGTTTTGGAATGATTTATTAAAAACAGCAGAGCCTCTTTTTTTTTTTTTTTTTGAAGTTTCTCGACATTTTTCTTCTTTTTCTTCAGCTCCTACCATGCAGCTTTTGAGATCGCTTGATAATGTGCATTTGGGCACAGCTGACCTTCTCTTTTCTTTCAAATGCCAAACTTTATTGAGGATTTTTTTTTCTATCATTAAAGAACTTGACCTGCCTTGAAAGTCAGAGTGCCTTTTCAAATCCATCACAGAACCTGACACGTGGAGCCCATGCCTGGACTAACACCATTTCTGATGCAGTTTTTGGAACGTATGTGTTTGGATTCAGAGGCGGCACTGGGCGGTCACCACATGCAGTTGGCTGTATATTCTAATCCTTTTCTCCTCCCAACTGTGCAGGCTTCAAGGGTGAGAAAGATTATTGGAAGAGTGGAAGAACCATCTGTGTGAAGACACATGAGAGCGGCCAGCGGGACATAGAGATGTATGACTCAACAATACTGTTGATAAGAAACCCCTACCACTCACTCATGGCTGAGTTCAACCGCAAGTGCGCCGGGCATCTTGGTTATGCTTCTGATCAGCACTGGAAAAGCAAAGGTATTATGAGTACAGTATAAGTTAAGCTCTTCTATGACACTTTATGTTAGTGTTATTTTAGTATTCTTTTATATACTGTTATAGATTTTATTAAAATTATTAATTTTAATTTAATAACTTTTTTTAATTTTGTTATTTGTTTTAGTAAATTTGTTAAATGTATTAATTTTTGTTATTTTTATATATTACTATTTTGATTTAATTTAATTTTTTCAGTTTTAGTTTTAGTTCATTTTTAGTTAGTATTTATTTCCAGTTAATTAACATTTAAAAGCTTGTCCAATTAATTTTGTAATCTCAGAGAAATTGCTGTCACTACCATAATGGTTATCGTACAATATTTGAATTTTTTGTTTTTTTTAGTTTTACTTCATCAGTGGCTGTCAGTATTGCAAATATATACATACAGTTGAAGTCAAAAGTTTACGTACACCTTGCAGAACCTGCAAAATGTTAAATTATTTTACCAAAATAAGAGGGATCATACAAAATGCATGTTATTGTTTATTTAGGACTGACCTGAATAAGATATTTCACATAAAAGATGTTTACATATAGTCTACAAGAGAAAATATTAGTTGAATTTATAAAAATGACCCCGTTCAAAAGTTTACATACACTTGATTCTTAATATTGTGTTGTTACCTGAATGATCCACAGCTGTGTTTTTTTTTTAGTGATAGTTGTTCATGAGTCCCTTGTTTGTTCTGACCAGTTAAACTGCCTGCTTTTCTTCAGAAAAATCCTTCAGGTCACACAAATTCTTTGGTTTTCTAGCATTTTTGTGTGTTTTAACCCTTTCCAACAATGGCTGTATGATTTTGAGATCCATCTTTTCACACTGAGGGCAACTGAGGGACTCATATGCAACTATTACAGAAGGTTCAAACGCTCACTGATGCTCCAGAAGGAAAAACCATGCATTAAGAGCCGGAAAACTTTTGAACAGAATGTACATTTTTCTTAATTTGCCTAAATATCATATTTTTTTCATTTAGTACTGCCCTTCAGAGGTTATTTACATGTTTCCCAGAGGACAAAAAAAAAAAGTTACATTTACCCTGATCTTCCTGATCTGAAGTAACCCCCCCCGGGCTCTTAATGCATCGTTTTTCCTAAAATACTTTTATATTTCTCCTCCCTCTAGAGTGGCCCGAATTTGTGGGTAGTTATGCCTCCTGGTGGGCTTCTCACATTTTGGACTGGCTGCGTTATGGAAAGAAACTTCTGGTGGTGCACTATGAGGAGTTGCAGGAGTCACTGGTGCCCACATTACGATCCATCACTTCCTTCCTCAATACCAGTGTCAGTGAAGAGCGGCTCCTCCCCAGATATGATTGATGGATACATCAGCACTGTGGACCAGGCCCTCAGAGCCAGCAACTATTCTGGCTTGTCTGGCTTGCATCTCCCAAGATGATAAGTCCAGAACTAGAGTACAGGACTGGTTGTCTTGCTCAAGCTCCAGTGCTACAAACTTACAAACTATGATGTCCTGGAGCTATTTTGATACGTTATTTCCTCACATATTGAGGCCGAAAATAGTGCCATATGATGCTGTTGTGCTTTGAGATCGTCATGTTTTAACGGCGGTCCGTGGATCAGTCTGTGAAAGGAAACAAAGTTCAACTTTGTTGCCATACCATGGTGGATAATTATAAAGATTAGGTTTGACGACTGCAGACTTGAACTTGAGACTCTAGTCAGAGGCTAAATAAGTTCCTCTTGCTCCTTTGGGAAGAAACTTGAGTGCTTAATTACATAATTCAACTACAAGTCAACAAGAGGCCTAAATAAACAACAGATGTAATTACTTATGACCTAATCTGACATGTACTGTAGATGATAATGAAATGTCCACATGACCACAAAAAAAAAAAAAAAAAAAAAAAGAAAAGAAAAGAAAAAGGCCCATATTGACAATAAAGTTTGTGTTAAATGAATTAATTTCTTTATTGATTTATTCATTTGCTTGTTTGTTTTTGGAAAATCTGACCAAATCAGGTATATTATATTATATTATATTATATTATATTATATTAATTATATTAATTATATTATATTATATTATATTATATTATATTAATGATTTTTATTTCTCTTAGTTCATGTGAGAGGTTCCACCAGCCTGCTGTTAATTCTTACTTTTATATCGTCTGATTTGATATATTTCTCCCCACTCATTTTAGTCAAATGGAACTCATAAATATAGTCTTCTCATTCAGTCTTTTATATTCAATGTTATGATAATGGGAGATGTTCCCTGGGGATAGTAGAAGCCCCCTGAGTGTATGAAGATGATGAATTTTTGATGAGATGCCATGGTGTGGGCCTTTTTCTCAGATGGCACATTATGTCGTGCCACAGACACAGGAGTTCTCAGTCCAGACCTCCTGAACGCTCACTGATGCTCCAGAAGGAAAAACCATGCATTAAGAGCCGGAAAACTTTTGAACAGAATGTACATTTTTCTTAATTTGCCTAAATATCATATTTTTTTCATTTAGTACTGCCCTTCAGAGGTTATTTACATGTTTCCCAGAGGACAAAAAAAAAAAGTTACATTTACCCTGATCTTCCTGATCTGAAGTAACCCCCCCCGGGCTCTTAATGCATCGTTTTTCCTAAAATACTTTTATATTTCTCCTCCCTCTAGAGTGGCCCGAATTTGTGGGTAGTTATGCCTCCTGGTGGGCTTCTCACATTTTGGACTGGCTGCGTTATGGAAAGAAACTTCTGGTGGTGCACTATGAGGAGTTGCAGGAGTCACTGGTGCCCACATTACGATCCATCACTTCCTTCCTCAATACCAGTGTCAGTGAAGAGCGGCTCCTCTGTGCTGAGTGCAACAAGGATGGCCACTTCAAGCGTTCAGGTGTGCGACGGCCCACCTTTGACCCCTTCACCCCAGATATGAAACGGCTGATTGATGGATACATCAGCACTGTGGACCAGGCCCTCAGAGCCAGCAACTATTCTGGCTTGCCAAAGGAGTATCTCCCAAGATGATAAGTCCAGAACTAGAGTACAGGACTGTCTGTCTCGCTCAAGCTCCAGTGCTACAAACTATGATGCCCGGGAGATATTTTGATACGTTATTTCCTCACATATTGAGGTCAGAAATAATGCCATATGATGCTGGTGTGCTTTGAGATCGTCATGTTTTAACGGCGGTATGCGGATCAGTCTGTAAAAGGAAGCAAAGTTGAACTTGGTGAGAAATTAGGTTTGACAATTGCTGACTTGAACTTGAGACTCAAAAACATCTCTAGTCAGAGGCAAGTTAAGTTCTCCTTCCTCTTTTGGGAGGAAACTTGAGTGCTTAATTACATACGTCAACTACAAGTCAACAAGAGGCCTAATAAACAACAGATGTAATTGCTTATGTACTAATCCGACATGTACCGTAGATGATAATGACATGTCTACCACAATGGCAACATCATTTTATGACTATAGTGACTTTTTGTAGGGACAATTTAGACCATTTACAAAGCTGATATCATAAATGCTAGGATAAATGTAACCTATTAGTGGTCTATAACCACAGAAACTGTAAAAATGATTTTAGTATTTTTGTCTTTTTTGGTAAAACATCTTAACATTCTTAAAACAAGATACATTTACTTTGACAAGCAAACTGACGTAAATATAAAGACTTGTTATATGAAAAAAAGTATCAAAATTAAAACAAAACAAGAACAAATGGGGTAACCTTCGAATTAAGTTAATTTTTCTTACCCTATTTATCTATTGGCAGATATTTTTTCTTGTTTCAAGTATCAACTCGCTTAATTTTGATTATTTTTTTCCAGAAAACAAGACAATACAAAAACAAGACATATAAGTAATTTTGCTTCTCAAGTAAATTTATCTTGATTTAACATAATTAAAAACATTGTTTTTTTGTAGTGTATTGAGGATAAGGTTGAGGACAATGTTATTATTCGAGAATCAAGTATTGAAAAAGTCATATTTATAGACCACAAAACTAAATATTAAGTTCAACATATCTATGATATAACGGCCCTGATAGAAACGGAATGTAATACTACGTTGTGGAGTAGTAGAATAACAAACACATTTTCTTTTAAACCTTTAAGATCAAGAGAATGTGACATGGCAAACAGACTTAGCATACATCAAAGTCAAACGAATAGTGACTGTCCCCATCCCGCTAGATTCCTTCAGAATGGAACGAAAGCTTTCAGCTGGACTAGACAAGACTTGCCTTGCGGAATGACGCTAGCCTGATGCTAATCCTCCCAGAGCTGATTAGCACGCCGCCAGCATGCTCCAGATGTGTCTGGATTAAGCGCTGGTGCAATACTCTTTTGCACATTGCCAAACTGGGATCAACTGCAAATTCAGACAATGTCACTGTAGTGCTAGTGGCAGGAATCCCACCAGGGGGCTGTTTCTGCTGAGTTATTAAACGAGACGCAAAAGATCAATCGGTTAGCATCATTCAGCATCAAATTTCTCACTGTTTAAGTTTGGTCCATAATTTAATTCCAATGAGTAGGTTTACATACAGCTGGAATGTGTAACTTTAAACAAACACTCCCCCATCTGTCATTCGTCTGAAAAAATGATAGTAACACCCCCAAAATTACATCACTGGTCCAGTCAGTGTTGCTATGCTGGACTGGTTGGGGTGTTCAAAGAAAAAAGAGCCATGTGTAATAGTGCCATAGCCATACTGTTTACAATGTTTGGATAAATCAACTAAGCTGGGATGGAAGAAAGTTTTTAATGCTGGAATAAACACACACACACACACACACACACACACACTTAAAGGGATAGTTCATCCGAAATTGAAAATTCTGTCATCATTTATGGAGTTATTTTAGTAGGATTTATATACTATTACACTGTTCCAAATTATTATGCAAGTGACATATCAATAGGATTTCGGTACAAAATCGAGCACAGAGGATCTTGGTCAGATAAAGATTTATTAAGGAAAGTTTCTGTCAAACAAATGAATTGTATTGCAATGGCAGCTGTAAAAAAGCCACTGCTGAGCAGCAGACAGGTGTTTGAAGCTACTGGAGTCTCAAGATCCTCTCCATGCAGACTGGCAGTTGTGTGTAAAGCTGCGTTTCAGTCACTGCTAACCAAACCTCACAAAGAGAAGCCCGCACAGTGGCTGTAGAAACACATTTTCAAACTGTTTAGCACCATGGTATTTATGCAGCATGGGATAGTGTGCTGTCCTGCATGAAAATCCTTTTATTTCCGAGAGCACTATTCTTTCATTTTATGTGGAGTTATGAACTCCACATATCTTGTAGAAGTCATTTTGACAACCTAAAATGACCTTACATCTCACTTCCCAATATTCCAACCCAAATCATCACCCACCGCCTCCTTGCTAATGTTGCAGTCTCATTGGAATAGGATGGCCATTCATCAACTATCAGAAATCCATTTATCTGGACCATCCATTGTACTGCAGCATTCGTAAGTGAATAAAACTATTTAAAAACAAGTCTTCATGTGTTTCTACAGCCACTGTGCAGGTTTCTCTTTGTGAGGTTTGGTTAGCAGTGACTGAAACGCAGCTTTACACACAACTGCCAGTCTGCATGGAGAGGATCTTGAGACTCCAGTAGCTTCAAACACCTGTCTGCTGCTCAGCAGTGACTTTTTTACAGCTGCCATTGCAATACAATTCATTTGTTTGACAGAAACTTTCCTTAATAAATCTTTATCTGACCAAGATCTTCTGTGCTCTAAGTCACTCACAAATCTTTTGACAGTTCAATAATTTCTATTTGCTTTTCGCAAAATATTATTTGTTTTGATGCCTTTTGCAAGACATTGCATTGTTTCATACTTTTCATCTTCAGAAAGATCTTTCTTCCTCACCATATTTCATGAGCACTGTGACTTGCTTAATAATGTGGAACAACCTCTTTAAGTAGGGGTTCCATTTACCTAAGAAGACCTAGAAAACTATTGAACAAACCTGTCTGAGATTGATACCAGTTAACAAAAATCTGACTCTTTATTGTACCGAAATCCTATTGATATGTTACTTGCATAATAATTTGGAACACAGTATAGTATTTATGAATATTTTGAATTAGCTTTTTTATTCAGCATTCATTTTAGTTTGAGTAATTTTGGTATGTGCTTTTATAATTTTTTTTTTTAACATTTTAATTTAGCTTTCATTTATTTTCTTCTCTTCTATTTTTAGTATTTATTTCAATTAACATTTATAATTTTTTGCAGTTTTTTTTTTGTTTTTTAAGTTTTTCATCTAATATTTATATTTCATTTTATTTCACTTTTATTTAAATTAACAAAAACAAATTAATAGATTTAGTTTTAGTTAACAACACTGCTCCAAACTGGCATGACCTTCTTTCTTCTGCAGAACACAAAAGAAGATATTTTGAAGAACGTCCATACAATAAAAGTCAGTGGGGTCCAAAAATAACACTGGACCTGTTTGTCTTTCATTATGCAAATGTTGTGTGTGTGTGTGTGTGTGTGTGTGTGTCTAAAAATGTCATACAATGACATGAGGGTAAATGATAACAGAATTTAAGCCTTTATTAACTATAAATTGTCAAATTTCTTTGGCACACATGACATTTTTAGGCCCCTAAGGATTCCTGAAAAGAGATATACATCAGTGAGCTTAACAGAAGGATAATTAATGAGCCATATATAAGGTTTAATGAAATATATCAGATTTCGCTTTAGGTTGGTTCTATAAGCCTCTGCTGTGGAGAATAAAATGCTGTGCGCCCAGTATGAATTATAAATGAAATCCATTGTGCCCCCCACTGTGATTTCCTGCAGGCTTGGTGCTGAGGTCATTGTGTCTTGCCTGGAGAACTGTGACAGATTAATGTCTAAATGAAACAGAATTTTATTTCTGTGCATATCTTGTAGATCGCTGCAGTATACAGTGCACACATGCGCTACATCGATATGTGTATGGTAGTGTGTGGTTGCGTATGTCTTTTGTGTGTGTGTGTGTGTGTGTGTGTGTGTGTGTGTGTGTGTGTGTGTGTGTGTGTG